TGAAGTTACTGCTTCCAGCCTGCCCTATTTGCTTGTCGTCACTTGTCAGAGGTTAATGTTTCCTGTAGTTTGCTGTGGAGCAGCTCATGACAGGGTCTCCGGCTTGTTCATGTCCATCTGAGTTGAGAAACCATTTGCTAACAGGGTTAACATCCCGAATAGGGGTGAAGCAATGACTAGCTTGGGTAGCCTGAGAAACACCAAGCTCTCCCATATGGAAGCTTCTTGGAAAATGTGTTTGTCAAGACCTCAGGCTTAGTCTGTTCTGTTCTTGCAGCTATTTAACTGGACCACGAAGAACATGCCAGAGGTCTCTACCTGCCTTATGGGATGCAAGGGCAGTATGCTGGGCACCTACTGATTCTGTAGTTTCTATTTTCAGAGTTCTAGGCTCTTTCTTGCCACTGATTAGGTAATTTTTTCACCCATGTCTCCGTGCTTCAGAATATTGAAGTGTTATAAAGCAGAAATGAGGAATATCTTCCCAACACCCTTGCTCAGAGCCAAACCTCAAGACTGTTGTTAAACTGTAAGGTTTTGCTTTTTCTAGTTTGTTTACAAGGCTGCCTGGGGCCTTGCTGTTGTCCCAGAGGTTGATGCATGGGGTGGGCTCCAGGCCTGTGCAAATTCTCCATGTTCACTTTTATAGTTTTGCAGTATTAATAAAGTTTTGTACTAAACTAAAATTCTTTGATACAGAGTGGCTGCTTTGAGCGTTCTGCTGAGCTGCTTTTGTAGGGGAGAAGTTTGAGACCTCTAGAACTGTGGTGGAAGCCTCAGTCATAGTACTGGGTGTGCAGTGGGACCCCTCCAAGTTGGATAGGATGCATTATAAGCTGTATCTATGCTGCAGTCAAAAATAGTTTGTCTTGTCTCACTCCACTGTATGGGGGATTATGAAACAGGGAATTCCTTTGGGAAGGGGCATGCTGCAGTAAGTTCTGTTTTCTAACACTGAGCACACTGCTGCTGGCCCTGTGAGCTCTTAGAGAAGAGGAGTAGAGTTCAGTGCGAATTTGATTTTAATAATGAAATGTATTGGAACAGTTACAGAAAATCATTCACAGTCAAAATGTCTAAATCATCATAGAAACATTTCCTCTGTGTGTGCAAACTTTGGTGCCTTTAAAAATAACAGATCTGGTCATCTTAAATGCACTTTCTATTACCTCTTCCTTGTGCCTGTTCTCACAGGCAGTAGCTTTTTCTTTGTGACTTGCTGTGCGGGAGACCTAGTTTGTATCTTCAGAGGACAAGAAGGTGAGGAAGATGCTGAGAACAGCAAGCTGCTTCTGCTGATTTGGAGTTCCCATGCTGGCAGATGCCGATTACGGAGTGGGCAAAAGTCCCCACAGTACTCCTTAGGGGAAGAAAAGGAAATGTCTGTAACCTAACAACTGGTGTCTGCCGCCAAGAAGGGAAGGGAACTGCACCAGAAAGGGAAGTAAAAATGGGAAGTGAATGTGCAGCACCACCATGTGACGAGCCTGTGCTTCTGGTGCCTGCTGCAGTCTCTCATTTGCTGCCAAGAGCTACAGGGCAGGTGGTGAGCACTTGGCATGGAAGTCTCTGCAGCAGCTGCAGTGCACACCAAGGGTAGCCTGGAGAAAGAATCACATTTTAGACAAAATGCCAAGGCGTGGCAAATAAAGGAATCCAGAGTCACCTGCCGACTCTGATGCTTAATGGTTTTCTTCCTGTTTGTTTGTTGTCCATCCAGCAGGGAAGATAACAAAACTATAGAACTTGACATTTAATCTAGTCTTAGGTAAACAGCTCTGCTACATCTCTTAATTACAGCATAAAAACATTCTACTAGCAAAACATATTCCTGGGGGTGAAATGTGGACTGCATACAGTACTGGATGCTCCCTTTAACAGGTACTTGAAGTTCAGATGTGAGAAGTAAAATTCAAAGACTAAATCTTTAGATGGAACCCAGATTTCCTATCTACGGGGACTCTCCTTTCTAGAGGCAATATTGCACAAGAAATTGAGTGTGGGTTTGCTATGGTCACAGGAATTGCTCTCTCTCTCACGAAGCTCTTAGAGCTTCTTTGGATTCTATGATTCTACTCTGAGTTGAATCCTAGGAACTACTGCCACGTTTTCAATCTTGTCCTGATTTCAGGCCACTCCTCTCTTAAACAACAATGTGAGGGGAAAAACACCCCACCAGGTGCCAGCAGCAACTACTTCGTAGCAACCTCAAGAAACACTTTTCACTGCCTCCCATCATCTGCTGAAGTTCCGTTTGCAGGGGCAGTAGATGAGTCTCGGTGCATTGTTGGTTTGTGTCCTCAGCTCCAAGCCCAGCTTTCCCACCATCAGCAGCCCTGTGGTGTGAGGGAAAAGTGCTCAAAGCAGGCTGACCCTGAAGAGAAATGCAACTCCTGACTGCACTGCATGTGGCAGCTGCTGAAGGCCCAAGCTTCTCTGCCACAGTCATGCTGAGTGGTAATGTTTATAATCACTTGAAATGAGGAAAACTTGACCAGCTCCAACTGGCCATGTTGGGAATCCCAGATTAGATAAGCTGTATGAATACCATGGGCACCACACAGTATACTAGCTTCAAAATTAAGCTGTCATTTCCATTAGAGAAGCTCAGTCCTTTCTCTCTGGGATGTCACCCTTAGAAAGCGTCCAAAAAATCAAGTCCAGCTTTATTCTGGGAAGCAAAGGCCAAAGTAGAAGAATGCCTAGTAACTGAAGGTGCCCAATCATCCTTAAGGGCAACACAGCTCCCTCCTACTGCCTGGGAAGGAGTTGAAGCAACTGTCAGGCCTGCTCCTCCCCCTCATTGGAAACATGTCGGTAGCCAGGGGGCTGAGACTGTATGCGAAAGAGTACAGTCAAGAGGAGGATTATAAGGAGAAGGAGAATGGATCCACACACAGCCAAACCCACGAACAGTTCTGCAAGGGAGAAAACAAGTGGTCAGCATAGTATTGTCCAAGCTTTCCCCTTCTGCCATGCTCTGGTTCAGCCTCGGCTCACCTGTGTCATGCATGCTGCTTGCTACCTGGCATTCTTGCTCCCAGTCCTGGGGAACAACAGGATCTGTAAGTTCCAAGAATCTTTGCAGTGGGCATTTATGCTGACAGCCAGGGAGTGTCAGTGGGAAGGGTTCCTTCCCACTCTCATTTCGGTAAAACATCTCCACAGAGAAGTTACTGAAAAAAACCCACAGCAAGACGTTTAGTTTTTTTCTCCAGCTGAAGTCATCCCTTCCCAAAAACTCAGTGTGTACATCCTCTCCTTTCTTCTGGTGGTTAAGTTTTCCTCATGAGAGTCTGCCACTAGGAGCAAGATTGCATGCCCCTAGGGTGAAGCCTAGCCTACAGCTATCTAACCCTCAAGGTGAAATCACAGCAGATGTTTTCACTGCAGCCCTCACCCATCATCCTCTTGGTACAGCTCAAATAAATGACATGAGGCGTATGGTGCTTGAATCTTGTTGTAGACATCTAGAGCCATCTGCAGTGCCACAAGTGTGGTGTCATGCTGAGAAAGAGGGAAAAAAACCAAATCAGTCACCCCTACGGATGTGGCAGGGCAGCTCAGACTTGTACCAGTAATAGACAGGGCAGTGCTGAGGGGATGTCACCTTTGTAACTTCCATCTGGAAAAAGGGAGAGGAACTATACTGCTAGAGCAGCAATCTGTGATGGTGCCAGAATGGGAGGAAGTGAAATACAGCCATATATATCCTGCACTGTTCTTTAAGAATTAATCTCTTGAGAGCAATCTGGGAGACACACTTGACTTTCCAGTCAGTAGGCTGCTGGAAAGGGGAGATGACTGTATCTACACTTCTGAAACATCACATCAACCCATCCAGCAAATAAATACAGCAGTGGCTCCCCAAAGTCTGCCTGTCTCATCCATGAGCCTGAGCTAATAGGAACAAAGTACATACTGGGAATTTTCCACAGGGGCCCCGGAGGAATGATGCCAGATTACTGCACATCCCACCCTGCCAGAGGAAGATGCATTTCCTGATCACTACATGGGCTGTAGAGAGGCTAGAAAGGATTAAAACTATCACCAAGCCCCAGTCCCCTGTGAGAAGGAAGAAGTGGCTAAAAGTTAGGCTCCCAGCTCTGACTTACCGCTGAATAGGCAAGTAGTTTCAGGTTCTGATGGGCAGAAACGTTTGCTGCTTTGGTTAGGTTCTTCCTTATGTGATCCAGCAGGACCCCTGAGGAAAGAGAACAGCTGGTAAAAGGCAAAAGCCAGACAGAGCAGCACAAGGCTCTGTCCCCGCTGCACTCACCGCCTTGCAGACGAGCTTTTTCTACCCGATTGTGGATCCCAAACAGAAATTCAAAACCAAAGTCTTTTAGTTGCTTCAAATGAGTCATGACATCTGGTGTCACCCATGCAGGCAAGTCCATTTGGTGTGCTTGCTAGAAAGAGAAACAGAATACTCATCTGCAGGTAGCACAGATCACAGATTAATCAGAGAATGGGAGTGTGTCTGGAGACCTGTCCATACTGCTACTGATTTCCTATACTATTTTAAATATGCCCTTTCCCTATTTATGCTTCTGACCTCACACTGTTGTGCTGCATACAAAGATGTTGTTTCAGAGACTAATAATGAAAAGCATAAAGATTAAAATCTGGGAACTGCATTTCTGTGAAAGCACAACAGGAGTGCAGTGTTGTGTTCTAACACTGATACAATAATCTTAGGGCATCAACTTTACACATGGCTGATTCTGCCCTGCAGCTGACATGTGGTCAAAGAGGAAAAAAAACGTTTCTGATGTACCTGCAGCACAGTTTCCTTGGAGGCTCTGGAGGTCACTGAAGGACATTGGAGAAAGTAAGCAAGTGCTCTAAGGACATAACAATGGGATGCATGACTGACAAACCCCTGTACTCAAACCCAGAAGCCAGAGAACTGGGAACCAAGAGAAGAACCTGCTTTGCAGCCAACCCATTACAAGCAAGGATTAGCTCTAATGGCAGACAAACAGCAGTTGTGGTTTCCCAGCATTACTCAGAACAATTTTCAATGCCACATCCCATTAAACTGTCAGAAGATGAGGCTCAATACCCTTAGGGGCCCATTCTGTCTAAGTGGTTCAGAGAAATGCCTATCAGCAACCTAGGTATTTAGTTAGTTCTTGATTAATTTACAAAGAGAATAGCTGATAAGCTCAGGTATTTATTGGACTTTTTTATTGTCTCTGTCCAGATAGTACAATGAATCTACTGGCTCAGGTGAGAAAAACAATCCTTCTCTTCAGGGCACTGTTTGCATGAGTTAGAAGAAAAGGAGGAAGCCCAAAGCAGCTGAAGAGACAGATTAGCCTGAGGGTATAGTTTTGATAGTGAAACTCCCCCTCCGTAAAAACATTCTGGTTTTGTTTTAGGACAGTGAGCTATTCTCCAGATTTATGGGGAGGCCCAATTTGCAAGCATTAAGTGACTCCTGAAAATTAGGAAGATTCTGAATTCTTGATCTGTCTGACCAGATGATTTTTTGTTACCAACAGAAGTTGATTCACTGTGATTGTTACAAGACAGGAAATCGGGTTTGTGATACAAAGGGCAAATTCACACGGTGCAGTGCAGCTCTGGACTGGAATATTCTCATCTTGCAGCAGCTCAAGCTGCTACTTTACATAGCAAAGTGCAATTCCATGCTGGTTTATCTTTTACACCCCCAAAATAGTATATACCACTGTGTACCACTGCCAGCAAGCCAAGTAGTCTTGCACCTCCACAGAATTAGTGTGACACAGTTTCAAAATGTTGGCTTTACTAGTTCTTCCATAATTCATTAGTTTGACATGTAAGATATCTATAATTTACTTCATCATGCTGTAGTTATACAGAAAGAAACCTGTGTGTAACAACTCCTGGATATGTGACATTTACTTTAGCATTATCATAGCACAGCTAACCCAATTTTTGATTTTGTTTAAGCCTTCATGAGATGTGCTTTCAACAAAAATCCACATGAATATAGAGTTTGCTGCACCACCCCAGACAGCAAAAGGGTAATGTCTGTCTCTGGAGTCTTTCTCTGACAAAGGACCTTACACTAGGTCAAAAATCAGATGTTGGTGAACCCCAGTTAACCTAGGAGAGCGTTATTGTATTTTAGAGATGACATTAACGGCAGCACAGAAAGAAAAGTGATTGATTTAAAGTAACAGAGAGGTAGAGGTAGCACTGAGAATAGTCCTAATTTAATCTCCCAATTTACATCATGAAGTTAAGGTTTCTTTGGTTTGCAGAGATATCATTTCTACCTTACCTGACTCAGACTTGTCCACAGAGATCTGACTGCCGTAATTTTCTAGTGACTTTCAGAAGAGGTATTTATTATGCAGGTGGGACTTTCTCTGGCTCTAACATGATATGCATCTAAGCTATGGAGTGGGAGGTTGTAAGGTGCAAAAATAGGTAATTCTTGGCACATGCCTCTAGTGAGTAGGAACTGTTATTATTCTGAATTTAGAACATTACTTCTAACTGGAGGGTGGCAATGGTGAAAAGCTGTTTCATGGGACTTTGCAAAATAATTTCCTACCAAATTCAGTGAGTCCTAAAGCCCAAATTCCCAAGGCTGTAAGACGATGGCCAAACTTACTTCACAGAACAGTGTGTCGTACACACTCCATACGCTCTCGAGAGAGACATCTGGGATGCCAGTCTCATTGGCCACCATCTGCAGGAATTGCTGTAGGTTTGAGAAAAGAGAAAGGCCTTCAATTTTCTAATCTCATGCTGTATTACATGCACTGGTATCCCTACCCTTTTCTCAGAGCTCTGATTACACAGAGGTGATAATACTTTAACTACAAGCCTAAGACCACCTTATCTCATGCAAACAGTCACTTACCCAATTCTCTTTGGTCTTATTTATGTATTCTGCTGAGTGCCGTGTTTCAGTCTGGAGCTGTTCATACCGTGGACAGGGGGTCAAAGGGAACTTCAGTAGCTGGGCAGAGACAAGAGCAGCCAGGTCACTGAGAACACTGAAGTACTGAACTTGCAGTCAACACGCACAGCTCTAGCGAGGCCCTGACCAATGGGTGCATCTATAAAAGCCTCAAGCACTGCCTGCTGACATACTCCAGACCATGAGTGCTCTGCTGGGGTGTTGCACCTCACATGTTGAGTGAACACAGCTCCTGAATTCTCGTCTTGTTCTGAGAACACAAAAACCTCTGCCAGGTAGGTCCCAGGAGAAGTTCTAGACAATCTGAATCAAGAGTGCAGCAAATATTTTTGGAGACTACACTACTTTAGTCAATACATGTCCCTGAGATTAACTTACCCTTTCTGCAGACTCAGGCACTGTGTGCACAGGGATAGGCTGCCAGGAGATGTTAGGGTTGAACATCTGTTGTCCCTCTGGGGGATAGAGGCCTGCCAGATTGGCCTCTGCACTCATCAGTGTCCGATCACAGTCCGTGCTACGGATGAAGATCTGCCAGGACAGGGACAGTGCACGTTAGTAACGCGACTGTAGGCAGTGATGCTTGGGCACAGGATGATATAGTTGCCAAGGAACATTGCCAAGTGGCCTACAGCCGCTCATGGACAGCAGGATAACGAGCTGAGGTGGTGACCAACCCTGCTGATGTCAGCCTGGATAAAACTGTAAGGACAGACACAATGACAATTTGGTGCGTAACACTGGAGTGGTCTGTTCTGGATCAGAAGCACTTCTGCCAGAAGCACTGTGCAGAGGCTACAGATTGAAAGGAGTCTGAATATGAAGAAGAGTCAGAGAAAAGCAGGACAGAGATGCAAATGATGATGGGCACAGACAGGAAATGCACTGCTTTTACAGAGCAGGACTGGGGCAAACTCCTGCATTCAATTCTGGGTTCTAGGAATGACCAGCTGTGCTCATGAAAAACATGGCTTCTCCAAGCCTCAGTTTTTCTGTCTGAGAAATGAAGACAAGAGTGATCTTACTAGCAGGAGATGAAGAAAAAAAGACAGAGCTGGCATTTTATCTGATCATTGTGGGCTCTTGGGATTAATGGGTCAAGACTTATCATTCCAGAGCTCAGAAGAGAGATCTGAGCCAGAAAAAGAGAAATGTGAAAAATACAGCAATGTTCAGAAGGTCAAAATGGCAAAACTTTGGTATTCTGGTATCTGTGTACTGAAAGCGCTTATGGGGAGACTGGAGAGAAACTAGTGATAAAACAAGAGGAACACACAGGAAATCATTAAAAAATGTCCTAGAAAACAGCATGTTGAATCCAAAATGACTAGAATAAAAAGCCTGAAGAATGAAATACAATGTGAAGATAGGGATTTTTTAATGTTAAATAAGAGAGAAACATAAGAAAAAATATATCCACTCACTCTGCATAGCATCTGCCACATGAAGTGTATCTTAGAACTTAAGAGTCATGGGAATAAAAACAACCTTGACTTTTCTCTGACAATTTCTACCTACTTTTACATCTTAACTGTGGCTTGAAAAAACTGACCCTGCACTCATTAGAGAGGTTTGCTTTCATCATTAATAAGCTGTGAAGAAACAAAAAGGAAGTATTTTAAAAGATAAGGATCTAATTCTACAAGTGTCATAAAAAAATCTGATTAAGCCCTGAGTGTACATGCTTTCTTCAGCACTTTTTGCCAGGGCTCCAGCTTGTCGCTGAGTCAGGTGACAGCTGGTCACATGGTGTCATCCAGAGACAACACTTCTTACAAGGGAGGTTGCTCAACTTGAGCAGGGGTTCAGGCTTGGTTAGCAGAACAGCTTTTGTTTGCATTTGCCTTGGTTTGTTTATCCTTCTCAGGCAAGAAAAGGAAAACAGTTTCAACTCTCAAAACCTGTATAAGAGAGAAGTATGTTTGGAAAGGAACTACTGAGGAAGGTTAAAGGATCTGTGTTTGAGTCAATGCTGAAAGTTTTGTTGATGAAGCAAATGTCAAAGAAGGGATGTAATCTGAACTACGGAAAGCTGAGTTCTCATTGGGGAGCCCTCAAAGGGGAGAAGCAAGGACAGAAAATTGTATGGGTATTCTTAGTTTGCCTCACCAGACAATCAGCCAAATTGGGCTCAGATAAAATAACTGAAGTGATGCAGAGCCTGTAGTAGGACAAGGGCTCTCAGCTGCCCACTGACCATCCAAACCACGAAACACGATGTTTCATTGTGACACTTGGTTGTGTTCCAGTTGACTCACACCTCTTTGATCAACCAGCCGGGGTACTTGGAGGGATTTGCTATTTCCATACCTTTTTTGATCATTCACATTTTCCCCTGTGCTTAGCATGTGGTTCCACAAGGGCTTTAACTTGTACAGAAGAAACCTACCAGTTTCTCAAGAACTACTATGAAGTGTGGCAACATCCTGGTGAGAGAGAGCAAAATTAATAGCTTTAGGGGACTGAAGCTGTCAATACTTTATGGGTGGAAGCAAATGAGAGAGTCATTTCTGGTTAGTAACTACTGCTTATATGTACAGATTCCAGTGAGAGTGTACCTGAAGTGCACTGGGGAGGGCAGGGCTCACACGGGCTACATTCTTGTCAGCTATTCTGACAAAAAATCTCAACTAAGAGACAAGTACCACCTACAACACAGCTTTGCTGCTTTGTTCCCTGGCCGCCGGTGCGAGTGGCTCGGTCAGACTCCCAGCAGTGCGGCAGCTGCGGCTCTGGCTGGATTTGCCTTCGCACTCGCAGCGAGGGCAGCGCCGGGACGCGGCCGGATCCGTGACCCCGCGCCCGGGCTCAGCACCACCTCTGCGCT